AACGATCTCTCGAGTTTTATAAAACGATCTCTCGAGTTTTATAAAACGATCCTCGAGTCTTATAAAATGATTTTCAAGTTTTATAAGACGATCTTTCGAGTCTTATAAAATGGTTCTCGAGACTCATAAAACTGTCGCGTTTACATGTTTGCGGAGGATTTTGGCTATTGATTCCGTCGTACCGATTTTGACCCCAACATAACACATGAAAGAACCAAAGCTGCGTCTAATTTCTGACGGAACACGAGTTTTCCATTGTTGGTATCTGCGATGACAAGAAGCAATATAGAGAGCCCTCCGCTTGCTCGTTAGTCATTACCATACTTTTTTTCAAAACACTAGTAGTGTCTCCTCTCAAATTTTATTTATGCATAAAGCTTATTGCTTTTATTTAAAAAACATATCGTTCTTCTTCTTCTTCTTTGTCTTTGTAATACTATCACGTTTTTCCAACACGTCAAGAACCTTGTGAGTTAGGAACCAACGAAAAGAATTGATCAAGAAAGTTTGTAATGTTCGTCTTATTAGACATTGACAGATACAGTGAATGAAAGCACTTTAATCATATAAACATATTATTACGAACTAGAATATGATGATGCAACGCCAGAGAAAGAAACCACACAATGAAACACACACAACTTTTGTCAACTGATTTCGTATTTAGGCGCTAACAGTGTCTGCATACAAAAAACCTCAACCGTGGCACGAGTGAAGATGTTATAAAAAATTTCTCTAGGTTAAAAGAGTAAACCCCTTGGCCAACAAGTCTGCTTTCCTATTATAATTTTTTTTTTTTTGAGGTTTATTATATAAAAGCATCGCAAACACACGCAACGGTAACACTAATAAAAATATTGTCATCAAGATCCATACTTGGTTCTTTTGAATCTCTTTATACTTGACTATTTTAATCAGAAAATTAAGCACACGTCACAGAGTGTGTGTGTGCCCTTTTAACATCATTATGGAAAAAAATAGTTTAGGGAAAAGAGATTCAAAACAAAGCACAAAAAAGATGTTACAATGTGACTACTACATATGACTGAAACTGTTGTCACCGTTTATTAGCCTCACTCTCAGTGTCAAATAGATCAATATCAATGTTCCCAGACTTGATCTGCATAATCCAAGACACTCATAGTGAAATATGCATCGTTATGTAAATTACTTATACGATGTAGAGTTAAGTATTACGTACAAAATGGAGAAGAGGATGACGATTTTCCTAGAATCAAATGAAGCAGCACGCTTGTATCTTCTCCACCTGTTTGTTGGTGCATCATGGCATCTCTCAGAGATAGCTTTATCTACAACATAATAATATTCTCAAGATTTGTTATTTCATATACAGCTAATTAAGCAAACGTTACCTAAATGTTTATATTATCTTTACCAGTGCTCAAGCTTGCTTGTCTCTGCAGTACCTTTTGCATATGCTGTAAAACACTTATAAGAGCTAAAGCATTTGGAATATGGACCAATCAAACTAGCATATGTATCTATTTTGGTGACATATAGATAGAGAGAACTTACTACACTCTCGGATTTGAGACTTGCAACAACTTCTTTGTCGACGTTTATGTCCACAACACATGATTGGTAGGAATCTGTGCCTCCAAGTAGCACATTGATGCGGTTCTGAGTTTTCTGAGAGCTGAGTTGGGCATCATCGATGAATAACATGTGGTTTTTAGAAGGAAGCAGAGCCTTGACAAAGCTCAAGAGAGTAAACTGGGAGGTACACTGTGGGATTGTGTTTACATCATCAGGCAAAACTGATATAGTACACACGTCTTGGACCTAATACAAAATTATAGAGCTTGGAGAACTTAGCACACATGTATCACCCACTAAAACGAGTTGTTTGATCATTTTATTATATTCTCTTACTCATCATCATCATAAGTAAGTCGCTACACTAAACAGGTACTAGATTAGTATACTTCCATTAAATAAAGTCATTATATTGATACCTCTGAAGCAAATAAATAGCCAAATGCAGGAAAGATTGAGTCAATGGAGAAAGAGAAAAAGAATAAAAACTTTCAGAATCGAATATAATATCACAAGAGCCACCACCACGAAGTCTCATATCTTCTCATTACTCCGAATCCAAGATTTAGAATATTCCAAAAAAAAAGAAACCGACACTAGAAGGAAAGAAGGAATGAGTGATCTTCATTACTAACCCCTTCACCAGTAGTCGCAGCCATTGCAGAGATGATCGTTGAACCCACAGAGAAAGTTAAGGAGCAGTTTTCAAGAAAATTTGACTCTGTTGTAGTTTTTGTGTAAAGAAGCTCAAGAGAGAGAGAAGAAGAAGAAGTGTAGAGAGAGAGTGTGTTAAGAAGAAAGCTGTACTCTACTCCTCAGGGCACGGCGTGATTAACCTGTGAATGCCTTTTTTTCTTTCATTCATCTAACAAATATAACGACAACTTCTCCTCCTAATCCTTCGCTTTTAACCACTTTTTCTTAATTCCCAAACTACACTTTACATTCTTCTATCATTAATTATCTCTCGTCTTTATATCATCCTGAATTAATTAAACTTGATTAGAGATTTCATCTATTCTATTAGAACATAAATGGGTATTAAGATATCCGTTCGAATATGAACCGTTTATTTCAAATATCGGGTTTTGAATTTCAAATTAGACTTCATTCATATATTTAAAAGAGCCCAAAAATATTCAAATTACTAATATACAATTAGTTATATGCTAACACAGCTAAATATATAACTCTAATCACTAAAAATAAATATTAATTTATAAAAAGAGAAACTACAAATTAAAAGATCAAGCATTAATGACATTTTCATTTACTCTGACAAATAAATGCATGTCCGTACTTTTAATTTTCAATTGTATATTAGTCATACTCCTATTTATGAGCTGTCCTATAGTAACATCCACCTTTCTTGTAATGTTCATTTTATGCAGAACAATTTTGATATAAATGGTTATTGTACAAGAATCAAGAGACATTAACCCCAACCATATCAAATGTCACCCCATCTCCATATGCTTTTCCTTTTTTTCTGAAATGTAAAATTTATCATATGCATTTAATTCCCATCCCCATTACCATCTTTTTGAAAATTTATTGTCTTTTGTTTTCTTTCTCTCTTAAATCATGGTTTTGGAAGAGTAATTAGACTCTTGAATCATTGAGATTAGGAACATTGTAACGTGAACGTAGTAATGTTTTTGTAGAGCAACATAACGAAAACGACATGGCTCACGGGTCATGCAACTTTCTGTCTGTATCTTACTATCTTCTTGCTCAGCTTCTCCCGTGAACTCACTCACTCCTCTCTTTTCTAGGGATTGTTTATTTGTTTGTATTCTTGTTTCATAACTTATTCTCACGTCTAAGTAATGCTTATCCCGGAGCCTAACTTCATTTTCAGCCAATTAATCATAAATGGGCTGTTTTGACCAAAAAAAAAATCATAAATGGGCTGTTAACAGGCTTACGAATCCACATAACATCAAAAAACATTTTGTTCTTGTTAGGTTTGTTGTTAAACCATGGTGGTAATATCAAGAACCAGAATTTGTTTGGTCTCTCAACTCTCAATAGATGATTGTGCACATTCATTACTCTTTCAACTTAACAAACATCTTATTGTAATTCAACATAATGTATTGTACTCCCTCCATTTCAGAATACTTGTCATTCTAAGTTTAATTTTTTGTCACAAATTAAGTGCCGTTTTAGAGTTTTGAAACAAAATTTATTAGTTTTGTATAATATTCTATTTTTCTATTGGTTGAAAAATAGTTAGGTGTATAGGTAATTGTGTTTTTATCTTAAAAATACGTAAAATTAAATGTTTTCTTAATCTGTATGCAAAAACCTATAATGACAACTAAAATGTAATGGAGGGAGTATAATTCTTCTTATTCATTGCTTTTATTCACATTCTTTTTTTTTTGATCAATTTTTTTTTTGATCAAATCTTTTGTTCACATTCTTTCTTTGAAAAAAGATACACAAAGACAAGGATTTATTTGCCATTAACTGTACATGGCCTTTCAAAGTTTACAGATTTTTCAGTTTAAAAGAGAAAACTTCCAATTTAAACTCACCAAATATGTATCTTTGGGAGAGAGCAAGAGAGACAGAGAAAGTCAATTAAAAAAAAAAGTAACTGTCAATTTGAATGACTTTTAAGTCACAAACATTATAGATTATAGTCATATACCATTACTAGTAGTTAAAGAAGAAAAATAACCAAAAGAAACCTCCTTTTGCCTTTACTCAGCTGTTTACTTTGTTGTTGGTCCAAGGCTCTCATAGAACAAGATGTAGCCATGATCAGTATTGCTCGAATACTCCTGAGACGATCCAAAGAACGTTTGCACAGCTGATTCTTCAATCATCTCCACGTTCTCATCATCAAAGAATAGCCAGTGGTTATGGCTTTTCACTAGGCTCACGTAATGACCATGGTTCGGTCCACTTCCCACATGAACCACCACCGCAAAGAGTGAGTACTCAACGTCTGTGTATGGCTCCACGGTGTTGCTCAGTTTTAGCTCCAAGGGGAAGACAACTCTGTAAGAGAGCTTCTTGTAACGGCCTAGCTGTTCCATGTACTTGAACCGTTTTAGATGGATCACTAAGATGTGTGGTGGCTTCTTGATCTTCATCCTTTTCTGTGCTTCTTGTAAGCTGCAATTCAAGAAAAGCTGAGGAACTTCGGCTTCAAAAACCAATGGAGGTGAGAGGAGAGTAAGAACCAAAAATCTTTACCTGCAGCATTTGTCACAGAAGAACTTGTCTTCAGCGTGAAGAGTCTCTGTTGAGCTGAAGTTTTTCAAACAGCTAGTTATCGAACTGTTCTGTTCGATATCAAGGCTTAGATCTAAGAACGTTTCGTCTCTTGCTGTCACTGTTTCGCATCGTAGACACCTTGTCTCGTTGGTAAGTATGCCCTATGTACATGAACGGAACTTAAAATTAGCAAAAAAAAATTGCAAGTGAGCCGTTTCTCTACAGAGAACTGACCTGGAAAATGTTGTGCACCCAAGTAACAACTGGCTCTTTGTGCACACCATTTGCCAGAGGAGCTTTGGGTCCGTTTGCAATCTTTTCAGGGGATGATGAGGATGAGGTTTCACGTTCAGGTTTTGTAGCTTTTGCCTCTTTCTCTAGGATGTCAACAACTTCGTTCAGCAAATAGTTCAGGAACTCATGTGCATCCTACATGACAATAATCATGCTAAAAAATGTATATTGCCTTTGTAAAAGAAGACAGAGGAGTTTGCAAAAGCACCTGGTGCATGTAGCTCCTGAACAGCTCATTCTGTTTCTTCAACCTTTGTACAAATCGCTTAGGCGCAATAACGCCCGTCTTCTTCTTCTGGGAACTTATCTACGCATCAAAATACAACCTCATAACACATCATTTACACAGAAAATAACTACCATTCACGCAATAATCAAAGTAGATGATGACAGGGTATGGGTATGAGACATTAAGTGCTACATCAAGTCAATTTACACTATTCAAGATACCAAACAGAAGACAAAAAAGTAACACGTTCCTACTAAGTCGTGCCTTTAATTAAGTGATTTCCTCCGTTAATGATGTCAAGAGAGAAATTTAGTAAAAAGTTGAGACTGGATTGAAGCAGTGACCACCATAAATAAACTAATAAAAAGAAGACGAGAAGAAAGCCAAATCTAACCTGAGAAAATAAGTCAGCCAGACAAGTCATAAGATTCTCTTCAGCATCAGCGACGCTTTTATTGCTGGTATAGTACTCGAGCAATTGTTCACGAAACGGAACACAAAAGTAAAGAGCCTGCACAAAGAAAGGGGAAGAAGCATTAACACATAAACTCTCAAGTTGAGATCACAAGTCAACAATGAATTTAATCAGGAAAAAAAGCCCTTCTCTAGTGGATGAAATAACAACGGAGCAGATACACAGTTGCAGGTACCTAAAGAAAACATTATCGTTCCTTAAAAAATTCAAACTTTATGACTTCGTGTAATGTAACAAGTTCACTAGACCTACAATTAACGCCTTCACCCCCAATAACAATGAAGCACATACATAATTAAATTTGCCTAGTAAACCTTATATTCCTGGAAAAAAAATTCAAACTTTGTGTAATCTAACACCTTTTTCCAAATCATAGACTCCTAAGTTTTACAAAAGATGTAACCTTTTCAGAATAAACATGACTAATTCAACAAACCCACCCGTAAGATACTATCAAAAGGAAAAAAAAATCGAATCCAATTCGAGATTAGAGAATTGAAGAGAGGACCTGCAAAACGCTGTTGCAGTAACAAGTGTTGCCGAAATTCTCGAAGCCGAAGTAGCGTTCACCTTCGGGGAACTGGTCGCCGAGAGCTTTCTCGAGTTTGGACCCCGCGGCGCCCATCAGCCCTAAAACTATCCTCCGTATCACCGTCTTCTCTGATCGGAGAGATTCCCCCTATAAAGGAAACTATCGAAATCTCTTTTTCTGCGTATTGTTCGATTCGATCGGATGATTCTTCAGATTGCGAGAAGAGCCTCTCTCTCTTTCTCTTTCTCTCTCAGTGGGCGAAGGAGAATCGATATTTACTGCCCTCTCGAATATTATAAAGGAAAGAGAGAGATAGAGGTTGACAATAAACTAAAAAAAACATCGAGTCAAAATTGCAAATTAGACCTCCAAGTTTTTATTATGTCACGTAATGAACGTTGAATTTAAAATAAATGAGGTGTTGTCCCCAGATAAAGAGTTTTTGTAACAATGGACTTATTCGATCCAAATCATTCTCGTTATCTTTTTCTGTATATTTATATAGTCGTTTATGATGTATATGTTGAATCTCTTGGCTTTGATTGTTGTAATTGCATTTTTGTATTGACAAAAGATGTGAGCACCCAAGTTATCAATGTTTGAGACGGTTTTCATCTCACTCCAAACCCGGTCTAAGAATTTGGTTTGATAGTTCAAGAGTTTAGTAAGAAAACAATAGACTTACAAAGGATAAATATTCATTCCGAGCTCCAAGAGAAGAGTACACGATCAAACCAAAATGTAAAATAAATTAGGATAGTAAATGCGTTTTGAAAAGCATTTGATATTCGCCAAAAGATATATTAGGTGATGATTGTTTAAATGGTTTTAAGATTTTAATTTATAGTTTTTGGCTTTTAGTTTCTAGTTTTTCATTTTTGGTTTTTGATTTTGCAGTAGAGTTTAGATTTTTGAAAAATATGATTGGTGATTTAGATTTTAGTTTAGGGTTTTGATTTTAATTTCTTAATATTGAATTGTTTTAGATTTTTTTTCTCTAAAATAGCATGAATGATTTCTTTATTTTTAAATATATGAACTATCTTTACAGAACTTGAATTATGATTTATTTTAAAATATTAGAATTATTAAGGATATATCATATTTTAATAAAATAATAATGATATATTATTAACAACGTAGGTAAATTTACAATAAAGTAAATGTTAAAAGTTAAGTTAATTTTTTGAGATTTTTGAAAAATGTTCTTGTATAAATTTAAATTAAATTTATTGGTGAGGATTGTTTAAATGGTTTTTAGATTTTAGTTTATGGTTTTTGGCTTTTAGTTTCTAGTTTTTAGATTTTGGTTTTTCATTTTTGCTTTTTGATTTTGCAGTAGCTTTTAGATTTTTGAAAAACGTGATTTAGATTTTAGTTTGTGGTTTTTGATTTTAATTTCTTAATACTGAGTTGTTTTAGATTTTTGTTTCTCTAAAATAATATGAATGATTTCTTTATTTTTAAATATATGCACTATCTTTACAGAATTTGAATTACAATTTATTTTAAAATATTAGAATTACTAAGAATATATCATATTATTAATAAAATAATAATGATATATTATTAACAACGTAGGTAAATTTACAATGAAGTAAATGTTAAAAATTAAGTTAATTTTTTGAGAGGTTTTTTTAAAAATGTTCTTATATAAATTTAAATTGATTTAATTGGTGATGATTGTTTAAATGATTTTTAGATTTTATTTTCTGGTTTTTTATTTTAATTTCCGAATATTGAATTGTTTTAGATTTTTGTTTATCTAAAGTAGTATAAATGATTTCTTTATTTTTAAATATATGTACTATCTTTACAGAACTTGAAATAGGATTTATTTTAAAATATTATAATTACTATGAATATATCATATTTTAAATAAAATAATAATGATACATTATTAACAACATAGGTAAATTTACAATAAAATAAATGTTAAAAATTAAGTTAATTTTTTGAGAGGTTAATTTTTGAGAGGTTTTTGAAAAATGTTCTTATATAAATTTAAATTAATTTTATTGACAAGTCTAGTTATATGTAAATTAATTGTCAATTTTTTTTCTTGCTCACTAAACATAAAAACTGGTTAGTATTATGTAAACTAGTTTTATTATATTTTTTAAAATATAGAGATTTAGAATGTACACACAGTGTATAGTATAGTATAATATATATATATATATATATATATATATATATATATAAAGAAAAAAGTGATCATAAAACAGGCAAATTGCTATTATATAAAGTTCTCTAAAAACAAAATATAAAAACTAACATGAAAAAAATTCTAGAAATCTAAGAAAACACAGATTTGGGTTTTGTTTTAGATATAATTAAGCATTTAAAAAAAAGAAAAGAAATAACTGAATTTTAAAGTACATTTACTTTTAGATAATTAAGAATTATATATTATAAAAATAATATATATAAAATTTGATAAAATAAATAAATTTATGTAATTCAGATATTTCAACATAAAAACTAATAGCTAAATTTTAAATAAAAAATAAAAATAATAAATCTATAATAATTATAACTAACAAATTTTAATAATTTTGATAAATTTATAGCATAAGATATTGATTAAATAAATATAAAATTAACCTATCTAAAAAACTCCAATTACTTAACTTTTTTAAAAAATATTAATTTTGTGATTTTCATTCATGTTTTTTGTAAATTAAATGTAGCTTCTACATAGTAGATGTTTTCTAAAATTAATTTTTTTCTGCAAAAGAAAAGAACAGAAAAAGTGCTTGGCGTGAGAAAAAACCAGAAAAATATAGATTCTAAGTAGAAAACAAGAGAAAATTTAGTTTTCCTAAAAATTAGGGAATCTACTTTGTTAAAATCATAATTGGACAAAAAACAGTTTTAGAAAATCAGAAACCAAAATCTACTTTGAAAACTACAAACAATTAACCTTTTAATCTTTATGATCCACCCCTCCAAGATTTATGAAAAGAAGGCAAAAAAGAAAGAGGTGAGATAACAAACTTATACTCAAATATCTCTTGTATTCAATCATTCTCTTATATATATATCATTTGTTCATACAATTATATAAAATTATAACATCAACAACATATACTATTCCATACAAAAGATCATCAATAGATATTTCTTTTTTACAATCTATTTCTTCGATACATTAGTCAAAATCATAACCATAATTTCTTAATGGATTTTGAGATCAATCAACCAAGATATTTTGTTAAGAAACTTTGTTACTCACTTTTACAAGCATAGATGAAGATATGAGTACTTTGATAGATTGATTTTTTTTTACAATATATTATTTCCCAATTTTTATACTCTAGTATAAATACAGATATATCATATGAGAATTATTTTATTTGTTTTTGAATTTATGAGATTGTTTACATATTAGAGGCTTAAATTGTATTGATAATATAGCATATCTAACAAGTTATCTTTTTAGATTTCTTAAAAAAATTGTTATTGTTCAAGAATAGTATACAACTATAGTTAAACTTAGAAACCAGTAAAGTGGAAAATATTTATTATAATTAAATTTTGGATAATCAACACACATTTAGGAGGGTGTATTCAACTAAAAGTTTTAGATGATTTGTTTTAAAATGAAAAATCCACTGTTATTTTAATAAGATTTTTTTTAAAAGATATATATTTTAAATCCAGTGTTATTGAACTTGACATTTTATAAAGTATTTCCAAATCCACTGTTTTAAAATTATTTTAAGTTGTGGAGTTTTAAAGTTTTCAAGTGATTTTAGAGTGCTTGGGTGAAGTTTCTTAGTTACAAAAATTAAACTCAAATCCTATGGTTTTATATGATATTCTAGAATGGTTTAACAAAAATTACTTAAGTCTCAAGAATTTATTAAAATCATCTAAAATCTCATTAAATATCAAATCACTTCAAATTTTAGATAGAATACATTCCCCTTTATTAATTTCAAATCACATAGAGATTGCTTTGGTTGTGCTTTTGTTACAGAAATAAAATCTAAATATACTATGTATAGTAAGAAATATATATTTTTATAAAATTAAAAATGAAAATAAAATTATAAATTTTGCCCCAAATCAAGTTTTTCCCTGGATATATGCTTATGTACATGAGTCAGTTTTTCTATCCTAAATTTAGTTTAATTTCTTACGAATTGCCTAAATGATAACTTGATATTAAAATTCTCAAGAAAACAATTTATTTTTTTCCTTTAAAAACATTTTTAGTGGCAAGTATCTATATAAGTTTCTAGTCATAAAAGTAATAAATAATTACTAATAGTGTGAGGAAGAAGAAAATTAAATGGAAAGGGATACGTTTCTCTGCCAGGAAATTTTCTCTTATACTAAAGAGACTAATATACTATGTGTCATTATATATAGTTGATCTAATTTTCTATATTTAAATGTTAAGTGCAGAAAATAAGTTATATTAATATAGTACACACAAGATACGTAGGAAAGAAACGATGGGGATGCTCTAAGTTTATGTCCTCAATTGAAATTTATAGACCAAAAAGCTTATATAAAGACCTACAAGGTTTTAGCACAATCCATCAACGCCATAAACATAAGAAAAAAATAACAAAAAGTTACACATTTTGAATATTCTGTATAACCTTTTGAGATTGTATACATGTTTGAGGTTTAATTTTTTTTATTCATAATATAGCTTAGTTTCTTACCCTTTTTATTGTTAAAATAGGAGAAATTGTTAGGTTCATTTCCTAGGATGAACTTAGGTTCACCAACCAATAAGATTTCATTATTTCATATTCAATATCTTTTAAAAAATAAAAGAAAACATTTTCGAGTTATATTTTATTTTTAAAAATTAAAAGATAAAAAAACAATAATAGTAGTTTCAGACAAAAAAACTTCTTTAAAAAATATTTTTAATACCATCAACAAAACACTAAACTCTAAATCAAAAACCCTAAACCTTTGGGTAAATCTTCAATTCTTAGATTAATCTAAAACCCTAGGATTTATGATTAGTCTAAAAATTTAGAGTTTATCGAAAGGTTTAGGGTTTAGGATTTAGAGTTTAAAAAGTCAAAGATTATCCAAGGATTTAAGATTTACAAAAGGATTTTATGGTTTAGGATTTAGAGTTTAGGGTTTAGTGTTTTGATAATAGTATTAAAAAGAATTAAATTTTTATTTCAACTATTATTATTTTTTATTTTTTATCTTTAAATTTTTTAAATATAATATAATTCGACAATGTTTTATTTTCTTTTTTAAGAGATATTAAATATAAAATAACGTGATCATATTGGTTCGTGAACCTAAAGATTCACCTTAGGAGATGAACCTAAGAATTACTCTTAAAATAGTATACAGTTGTATATAGCTGTATATAAACTTAGAACAATGAAACGGTAAAATACTTCATATAATTAAACAGTTAAGGTTTATAATATAGGATCTATACTTTTTTACAGGAATATAATTTACATTTATTCTATACATGGTAAGATATTTTAATATATTTTGAAAATAATTAATAAAAATTTATTTCACACAGTCAACATTTAGTCTTGATATGCTTCTGTATACATGAGTCAGTTGTCCTTATGAGAAGCATATCAAGGAAAAAAGTTGACTGTGAAAAGAAGCATTCCAAGTTTGTACCACCCATTTAACTATATAAAGACCTACGTACTATCTTTCAAGGAATTCCAACATCAAAACATAAGAAATATTTACGAAGGCTACACATACAGTTAAACAAAAAAAAAACAACTACGTCAAAAAATGGACCAGATCAGATTTAAAGATGTTGTTGCAGCCATCGCAATCATTTTTTTGTTGGTCATTGCAGGTTAAACAAGCATTCTAAATATTTTGTTTTTGATTACGTAAAATCTTACTTTAAACTTTGACGTTAGTTGAAAATCTACATACTTAGATTTTTGGATTTTATATATTAAATAACTCTTATTGTTTTTTTTTTTTGTAGAACAAGCAAACGCAGTCTCCGTTGATGCCGACTGTTATGGACCATGCACTAACCATTGTGAACAAACTTGCAAACAGAAAGGTTACACAGGCTGGTTTTGCTCAGCTTTTAGAACCAAATCTGGCTGTTGCTGTACACCACGAAAGAAGAAAATCTTTGAACAATCTGTTCAACTGAACAATTAAACTTTTGATGTAATAGGCTCTAACGTATAATTATTAATGAAACCTCCATCAATAAGCAAAATAAATATTTTAAAAAGTTACAAAAAATTGTCAAAATTTGCCTTGTCTACGTATTATGGGTGGAAAAATATATGTATGAGATATAATTTCTATACAAGCCGACTAAAAGTTAATTTTATATAAAATGTGGGGGAGCAATGTCAATTACACTATTGATTATGGACTATTCTGTAAATTTAAAATAATCTGGGGCTTATGTCATCAACACACAAATTGCAACACTATCACACAAAAAAAAACGCCGTCATGGAGGAAGACGACGATCGGAGCTTCGCTACCGAAACCCTAGACGAGGCGTTGAAGAAGAAGAAGCACGATGACATGCTCGAACGCTTCTCTGCTCGCCACACCGCTAGAAAATCCGATTCACCTGACTCCTCTTCCACGTTTGAATCGACCTCCTCGTTCCTCTCCCGATTCGCCGATTCAAAACGATCAATCGAGTCTCGAATCGCCGAGTTACGACTCGCCGCCGATTCATCCAAGATCAAATCGGATCTCGCGGAGATCTCATCATCGATCAACGATCTCGAGAGCCTCGTCGCAGCCAGCTCATACTTCCTCCCTTCCTACGAGGTTCGATCATCTCTCAAATCCGCATCGGATCTCAAACAGTCTCTCGAATCCCTCTCCAGCGAGTTACTCCCGAAGAAGAAATTCTCCTTCAAGACCAAATCGTCTCCCTCCACCACCGCAAAGATCGAGAAACGCGATCTCGTTTCACCTCAAAACGTCACCGTATTCGTTCGCGACTCTCCAGGATTCAGAAACAAACACGAAGAAACTCTTACAAAAACCTTCAAATCATCCTCGCCGTCGATTGGAGAATTCACGTTGTCAGATCTCGACACGTGTCAAGTGAAATTAATCGGGACGGTCAACGCTCTCTTCATTAACGGATTGAGAAACTGCAAGGTGTACACGGGGCCAGTGATCGGTTCGATTCTGTTAGATGACGTGGAGGATTGTGTGTTTGTGATGGCGTCGCATCAGATTAGGATCCATCGTGCGAAGAAATGTGATTTTTATTTGAGAGTTAGGAGTCGTCCGATAATTGAAGATAGTAAGGGAGTTAGATTTGGGCCGTTCTGTTTGGATTACGGAGGGATTGAGGAGGATTTGAAGATGGCGGGGTTGGAGGAAGAGAGTGAGAGCTGGGCTGATGTGGATGATTTCTTGTGGCTGAGAGCTGTTCAGTCTCCTAACTGGTCTGTGTTGCCCGAAGAAGAGAGGATTGCTTCGGTTTCTATTTCCAGCGATGGCGATTCTTGATTCGAATAATGCAAGTCATCTTTAAAGGCTCGGTGTTTTTGTATTCGAGATTATACTCTTGATTATGTTTGATTGTCATGACTTGAATCATTTGGAGAATATTATCTCAGAATCATGAGAATGTTTTGCTTGTTATCTTGGTTCATGGTGATGGAAACTACTAACCGAAAAAACAGAAAATTTTGGTTCGGTGGGGTTAATTTCAACGGGCCTAGTTACAGCAATAGTTGAGCTTGGGTACTATTGGGCTACAATAAACAACGAGGCCCAATATAATCATCAGCCCAAGTGTGGAAAGCTCATAGCAAGATGGAACCGGCTAATTTGACTGTCTGACTTTACTTATCAGAAGTCAGGACTTGTTAAATTATTTTTTCTTCACCTGAATAAAGTATTAGAAGAATTGACGGAAACAAGCAATCAAAAAAGTACTGCAATAGGAAAGTATTGAATATGAATTTATTCGAACAACAACAGAAACTTTAGTCAAAACTCATAAGCATACTATAATGTATTATTAGTAGAGCTTTATAAATCACATGGTCCTGAATGGAGTATTGGTAGGTTGGTAGATGGAAAAAGTCTTATAATCATTTCCCAAAAAAATTGGCCTCCAACAATGAGTCATTCACACAAACCAAAACCACTACTCTTTTTTGGTCAAACCAAAACCACTATTTTTAATCAAAAATATTCAGTATGATAAATTTTTTTTATTAAACTTTTAGTAACTTTTTTTGTGAACTGACTTTAGTAATTTTCTGATTAAATGAAAATGTTAATTATATATTTTTTTTGTTTTTGGTTAACGAATAACGAAGGTTTTTGTAGTATGGAATATGGTCATGTGTTTTTTGTGGAAGAATATCATCGTTGGTTCTTCTCACCAGTTTACTTCCTCTTAAGTCTTATTCCTCTCTATATATTTTCAAACAATATCTATTTCTTATACATTAACTTATATAAGCAGATTTGTTCTGTACATTGATTCTGAGCTGTGCAATCTCTGTGATCACAGCTTCAATGGAAAGATTAGCTGTCAGAGCATCTCGACCGTCCATCTTCTGCTCTCTTCCAGGTCTCGGCAGCGATTCTCAGCGACCACCTCTAAGTTGCGGTTTTCCCAGGCTGCCTGTGTCCTTGAAAGCAGCAGCTAACACAAACTTAGTCGCGAGTTCTGTTTCTTTTCATCCAATCTCCGCCGTCAATGTGTCTGCTCAAGCTTCCCTCACCGCAGATTTTCCCGCCCTTTCAGACAACATCGTGTGGCACGAGAGTTCCATTTGCAGATGCGACCGGCAACAACTTCTTCAACAAAAGGGTTGTGTCATTTGGATCACTGGTCTCAGCGGCTCAGGTTTCTAACTCAGAACAAAACAGTTATAGTAATCGCGTTTGCGTTTGTAATAAATGTTCATGTGTTTCTTGTGCTACTAAATCAGGGAAAAGCACTGTTGCGTGCGCTCTAAGTAAAGCATTGTTTGAAAGAGGGAAACTTACTTACACACTCGACGGGGATAATGTACGTCATGGCCTTAACCGGGATCTTACTTTCAAAGCTGAGGATCGTACCGAAAACATACGCAGGATCGGTACAAAAACCTTTTTTTTTCTTTATAAATAAACTAATCATGTTTTAGGTTTGTTGGTTAAGTAAATTATGAATGATTAACGATGTTGAACTTCAGGTGAGGTGGCTAAGCTGTTTGCTGATGTTGGAGTCATTTGTATAGCAAGTTTGATTTCTCCATACCGGAGAGACAGAGACGCGTGCCGGTCTTTGTTGCCGGAAGGCGACTTCGTGGAGGTACGTCAACGTTATAATTGTTCACAAGGATCGGATATGAGATTTAGGGGTTATAGACATTTTTAGGTTAGTTTAAATATATATCTAACTCGGTAATTTAAGAAACATGTGACTATGTGTAATTAAAAAATTAAGAGCCAAAGTGAATGTTCCACCTGACCAAAACAGGTCATGTTTGTTCCAGCCTAATCCGATTTAAATTCATTAATTGTTTTAGGTTTTCATGGACGTTCCTCTATCCGTGTGCGAGTCAAGAGATCCAAAGGGGTTGTACAAGCTCGCACGTGCCGGCAAGATCAAAGGTAATTACTGAATGATCTTAAAACTTGAAGTCAGAAAAAAAAATCTATACGAGATTTTTGTTCTTTATTCAGGCTTTACTGGAATCGATGACCCTTACGAGGCACCACTGAATTGCGAGGTTCGTTATGTTTATTCTGTGATGTCGATGAAGATTTTGATACGTAAGTTTCTAATATACTATATTGATGTATGTTAAAGGTCGTGCTGAAACACACAGGAGACGACGTTTCTTGTTCGCCACGTCAGATGGCTGAAAACATCATCTCTTACTTGCAAGACAAAGGTTACCTTGAAGGCTAAGTCAAATCTGAAAAATCGAAGAGAAGAAACTTAATTAGTTTTTGTTTTTTTTTGTTTTTAAACTTTGTTTTCTTGTCTATGATCATTAAGACACAAAAGAGAAAAAAGATTGGTGAGGGAAATAGTCATAATAATGTTTAATGGTTAGATGATTGCTCTCTCTGGTTCTCTCGTAAGTTTGAGACGTGATACGACGGTGTCTCGCTTGTTCTTGAATTGTGTCAAGCTCGAGATCCAGAGGAATGGACAAATTATACTTCTTCTATTTCATTTTAGTTGTTGATTTTGATTTATGCAAATAAATTAAAAAATATTTGTATAAAATAAAAATATCATAATTTACAAATTTAACCACATTTCAACCAATAAAATAATATATAAAATTAGAAAAAAATTGACTTTAAAAATTATAAACGACAACTATTTCAAAACAAAAAGTTTAACTCTACAGCGATAACTAAATTATAAGGGATAGGAAGGAATATTTGTTTTATTTCTAATTAGCATTTAGTTACTTAATAGAGAGTTGTTTTTGGCTTAATGTTACTGAATGTGTTGTATAAACTGAACTTCTCTGCAATAAATTAGTCGTAAATTGCTAACTAAAAAGTGTGAATTCAACCTATTCATCTACACGGCAAGCTTAGTTAGTTAATGTTATATACTAGCTCTTTTATACTATTGTTGAATTAAGTCATTAATTACTACATCTTTTTTTGTAAGGGTAGTATATACCCACCCTACTCTTTACTGAAGTATAACTCAGCTAGTGTACGACGCGAATGATCTTGCTCGTTATGGATTTGAATGTAAATCTTCCTTTTTTTGCTAAATCGAATTAAAAATCTTGTTTGGAGGGATTGATACACGACATTAATATTATCAAATAACCATAAATCAAAGTCACCGGAAGTTTTATATTCAAAAATAGAATTATGATTAGTTCGTGATATTTGACAGGTGAGATTTTGACGGGTGGCACGTTTTTTTCATTCATGCATGCGTATAATGTTCTGACTGCCTACGGTCTTTCACATCCGTTCTCTCAAATCATGGATCCATTTCAATACAACGGATGGTGTGATAATTTTGCAAGGTTTTACAATCTTGTTTATTGACTCTACAATCAACCCATGATCTTTCTTCCTGCTTCAGTTTAATTTATACAGCATCATGAATTACTTTACGATAGATAACATATTTTTTACTATTCCAATATAAACATGAAATTCTAAATGGATGTATATCCAAAAAAATAAGTGTATTTTGATATATATATATATATATATATATATAATCAATACTTTTAACATTTCTTTATACCACAAACTAAGATATTATAATTTTTTCACCTTCAATTCAATACATATAATGTAGACATATCAAAGAAAATAACCACCATGGCGGAAATAATCCACGTGATTAACCTTTTGCTCATCGCAATTAGAAACACATATTTTTATACTAATCCAACATTGATCATTCAATTAGCTCAATTAATCCAAAAGTGGGGCTCTCTGAAACTTAGCTCAATATAAGTAATGGAGGCTAAAGAATATGAATAAAATTAACACTAAAAAAGTACAGGGCTGAATTTTTGAATTCATGATCCAATTCTCTATTTATTTTGTAAAAAATATTACTTTGACATTTTTTACACAGATTAGAAAAATAATTGAAATATATTAATGTTCTTATTAGTATACATATTTAAACAATAATATTTGAGACAAATATAATTATTTTATAAACCAATGCATTTGTAATTAATATTAAACTAAAAGTTGTATTGAAATTCTTAGATGACACATTTTATGTAATAAAAATGTTAAAATGACACTCTATAAGAAATAGAAATTATAAATCATTTAAAGAAGTAGAGATTATAAATCATTTACAGAAATAGTTCAATCGAACCATTTCCGATACACTAGTTCGTCTTTATGTTAGACTTTTTATTTGATAACCAGAAGTTGTTTGAGTCTTAGATCCAAATAATCTTTCAGGTTCAAGATCCTGCTGGTGCTAATATCAATTATGGCATACAGAATCTCTCCCACACTCATGAGCACAACATTAACTAGTGCTGAGTAAAATATATATAGATTGTGATTCGATTTGTTATTCGTTTTGATTCGGAATAAAAACTTTGGATATCCGTAACTCTATGAAGCAAATCAAATACTAAAATGTAATATTTATAAGAAATGAATCAAATTACAAATACTAATATTTATAGGAACAAATATCCTATCCGATCTGTTATATGCATATATTTAAAGAATAATATATATAACTTATACAAATATTATATTCTATATAAGTTTTATAATATGTTTATTTATTTATTAAATTTATAATTTATTTCTACAGATCGAATCGGATATCCGGCTAAAAATCTAAAATTTTCTAAATATCCGAGACAACAAATATCCGGAAAATTATGAATCGAATAGGATAATTTATTATTCAAACAAAACGAATCATATCACAAATACCTCCAAAACTCTGGATATTCGATTTGTGTCTATCTCTAACACGAACGTCTATATTTATACCAACCGGACTACCAAATCAGTGGGTCTGTCTCTAAAGTTGCATGTTTTAAAATAAATAAATGACGCCAGTTACTTGTAACTTGTCTTTTTTATATAGAGATAATTAGGCAAATGCCCATATTTGATGTTGTTATTAGGGAAGTACCCATGATTTGACATAAGAGTAAAGTTTTATACAATTATTCTTGTTCATACAATTTTGTCCTTCTCACCTTTTCTTTCCCATGTGAAATATCTGACATCTCTCTTTCTCCAACGATTCTTCATCTCTTTCGTACATTCATTTTATTTAAACTACACATATTTTTCACATAACTCTTTTTCACATTCATTTATTTCTTTTTCACTATTTTTTTCATGATTTTTGTTTCTCATCTACAATTTTATTTGTAAATAAATTTTAAATTTACTCATTTTGATAGAGAAATGAAACTTCAACAATATTTATTTGTTAATATATAATACCTACCGCATGTATTGACATCTACAAAATTTATTAACAACTAACATCTCTGTTAGCACTTGTAATACATGTATTTGTTAACAGCTAACACATCTGTTTACATTTACAAATTTTGTTAACAGTTAATGCCTCTGTTAATACATCTGGTACATGTATTTGTTAACAGTTAACACTTTTGTTGACATCTACATTATTTGTTAACAGCTAACATAAGTGTTAACATCTCGGCGATTTAAAAAAAAACTTCAATGCTGATTTTTTCAGAATGTGGTGTAATTAAAATAATTTAGATTCATAAGAATAGTAGTAAAATAGTAATAAATTTTTCGCAACAATAAATTTTTACAAAAAAAAAAAGGTTTAACATAATAAGAGAGTTTGAGAATGAGAAAGAAGAGGAATCGAAGGAAAAAGAGTGTCAGGAGAGAGAATGTGCCAGGAGAGAGAGAGAGAGTTACATGCATGTAAAAAGAATGATAATTTCGTCATATAAAATGGATCAGTCCCATTATAGGCAAATCACTAATATAGACTCTCATTTGGGGTATGGGAGCAAATAATCTTTTTTTTTATAAGCTATCAAAGATACATGTGTTTTTAGCCTTTAAATTGGAAAACAAAGGGGAAAAGAGAAATTGACTGAACTCTGATCACTTGTCTCAGTCACATTGGAAACAGTGGACCATAAATCACGAAATTATATTTGACTAAATTAGTAAGCAACTTTGAATCTTCCCCACATTGATCCCAACTTTCACGAGGGTTTTTGGCAGGTGAACTCTACCCAAAACATATACCCTAGATAATCTGTTTTCTATTATTTTCGGCAAACCAATATACTACTTCAAAGTTCAAATACACATTACAAAACAACTCTTCTTGTGTTGTCACCTACATAATTAATAGAAAAGAATGACAACTCTACTCTCTTCCTCTCTATGATTTCTTTTCTAAGAAACTAACGTGAGAATTTTTTTGGTGGAATTCAGTAAAGTAACATGGTTAACAACTATTAATAATTGGATCATAACATATAGTTTAGTAGTCTAGTATTGGCACTATATCACCATCCATCCAAATTTGAACGTGAGCATGCATGTGTGGTAGTTAACAAAAGAAAACGTTCATTAGTTTTAACTATGCACCATGCGCTCCTAGGATCTAATTATTTTGAGTTTAGTATAACTTTAGTCACAGTTTAATTCTGTGTAGGTGTAAACAGATCTATATATATATAGTATAGTCGTAGACGCTTAATTAAAGTATAACATTAGCCGATGTACTAAAAAACTAAAAAGTACATATACTCCGTTGCATAGTTCTCTAACTCGTTATGTTCGGTTTTCTCAGCGAACGAATGTGTTCGTTCATGTGATTTTCTATTCAAAACCAGTAACAGTGGTTACATATATATCTCCAGGACTCCCCAACACTCTATAAATCATAAATATCACAGATCAAGAATAATATGAGCTCTGATACTCTATTTGTTTTCGTCTGGTTTTTAAGTGCATATATAACACGAGGAGTTTTGGCAGGTCACCTACAAAAAACAGTTAGCATATTTAAAATTCCCAACCAGAAAGAGTATTATTAAACAAATATTAAAATATAGATATTTTGAAACGTTATCGTAATAATTTTCAACAATGGTAGTAGTGCTCAAGATGGACCCGACCCATTCAGCATTTTCCTAGCATCTTCGATATTCCATAACCTTTTTTCCATAATCCATTTCAACACATGAGGGTATTGCGATCATTTGACAGTACAATAGTATAAATAGGAAGGTGAGGCTCTTATCCATGCAGAGAAAACAAGAAAGACAACATACTTTGATTCTTCTTTTCTCTCTCTCTATATTCTCTACACAAAATAATATGAGCAATTTTACCTTAAACTCTTCGGATTCCACTTCCACTACAACGCAAACATCATTGTTCAGCAACATGTATCTCCTCACAACGCTTCAAGCCTTAGTGGCTATAACCTTAGTGATGCTTCTCAAAAAACTGATCACGAATCGTAACAGAAAGAAACTATCTCTCCCACCAGGTCCCACCGGATGGCCAATCATCGGAATGATTCCAGCGATGCTAAAGAGCCGTCCTGTTTTCCGGTGGCTCCACAGCATCATGAAGCAGCTTAACACTGAGATAGCATGCGTGAAGCTAGGAAACACTCACGTGATCACCGTCACGTGCCCTAAGATAGCTCGTGAGATACTCAAGCAGCAAGACGCTCTCTTCGCCTCAAGACCTATGACTTACGCACAGAACGTCCTCTCTAACGGATACAAAACATGCGTGATCACTCCTTT